GAATCAATCTTTGTCATTTCCTCTGTTTGCTCCCAAGGGAATCCAAGATGCAAGGACGGTTATTATCCACCTCGATGTAACGAAACAAATCTGGGAACCACTTCTGTAGAACCTACCAAAAAAACTATTGCGGCTGCAACACAGCTAACCACCACCTTCAAGAAACAGAGAACAAATCAATCAAGTAAGCAAAGTCTGTCAATTTTGTTTTTCTGTCAATTTTGTTTGGATACCTTATCCCAACAACATTCTGAATTCCTTTGCACTGGCAGTCGTTAAGTTGTTGCAGTTGATGTTCCTCATGTTGCTGTTACTTTTGTTGTCGTGGTTGCTGCCGTTGTCATTGCTGTTGTTTTGTTGTTATCGTTGTTTAGTGCTATGAGCGCGCGTTGTCACTGTCATTACGGTGTTGGTTAAACCTTGTTCTCACCAGCGACGCATGCTGCAGTAAGCATAAGCTCAAGCGCAAGCGCAAGCGCAAGCTAACGCAAGAAAAACAATTCTTCCATCCTCTTGCGCTTGGACCTGTCTCTAGTGAGAACCAGGCTTTATACTAAAACTAAAACAGTGTGAAACTCAATACCCTAATATTTCATCATGATCTCAAATACAGTCATTCATAAAAGCCGGTCAGTGTGATAGAAATTTTACGGTGTCAGTTTAAAAGGTATTTAGTGTAATTTATCAATACAGTAGTAGGCATCATAAAGAAAGTAGTAGCAGGCTGGCCAAAAAGCGTAGTAGAAAATCTCCACTACTCTTTCATTTTCCACCTCTTTATGCATTCCATGCTCAATTCTGGTGATGTCATGACTGCATTGTTACGGAGTCCAGTTCATAAAGGTAGGCAAAAGTATCTAAATCATACAAAAGACCATTTAAAAATTTTTCAATATACATTTATGTCTTTTTGATTACAGACTCGTATATTCACAGGGTTAGCCTCATTTGGACGTCAGAATATTCAAAAATGACCAACGGTAAAGTAATGAATGCACAACTTCAACAATACAATTTGAAATTCTACGAACCTTCAATGAAACACATAAATATTCTACACAAAATCGAGGCTAACCCTGAGAAATAGAGAACTCGAAACTGGAGCGTTGATGGTACCCATTAACTTTCGCAAAATTAAGCCGGAAAATAATTTAATTCGAGGCTAATCCTGAGAAATAGAGAACCCATTAACCTTTGCAAATAATTTCCTATCCTTTGCATTGTAGAAAATGGCTCTATGTATAAAGGTGGTTTTTGTGGTAAGTAGAGCAAAGAAGTTGCTAGAGTACCTATCATTGAATGAAATGATTATAATATACATTGGTTATCAATAACCACAATACATTGGATCGAAAGTGGTTTCAACTTAAGTATCAAAATTTTATTGTCGTGTTTTCCATATATGTCTCTAGTTATGCATGGAGACGGTGCTGTTTCATAATTTAGAAGTAAGACGGAAATAGCGAAGTTTACGCTGCGCTCATCTATTGATATTAATGTGACAACCAGAGATCTATTGGCTACAGAAACAAAGAGATCTTTTGTTTTAATGCTTGGCAAATTTGATTGAAAAAAGATCCCTGACGTTTGTAAACAGCGGTGAATATCACTATAAGCAAAAGCAACTTTTGTAACTTAGCGCGATACACCATGTAAGATTTGCAAAGCAACTAATAATTTCTTTCCACATAAAAAGTGATAGATAGACAGAAAAGAAACATTTATACCATCAAGAAATTCCCTGAGTAGTGATTGGCTATGGAGACCACTGTTATCCTCATAATATCAATAACATTTATGTGATCAATATTCAATAATATCACTGTTCAGTGCGAAAGGATATGTGTCGTGTATTTTTAATGATGTCTATCTTACTCTGTTGCATCTTTTCCGTGGTATTATGGAGGCCTAGGATTTTACCGAGAAACGTATCTAGCTTCGTCTACTCAGGGTTTAAATTGATCTCAGTAGTTGGCATATAGGCCCCTCTATTTTCTTTGTCTCTGTTTAGGTAAGCTTTGATTAATACATCGCAAACTGAAGCCATGATTGCTGCCAATTCTAATTTCCTAGCGTGGTGAACTTTATGTTTCGTCCCTATATTCTCAGACAACTACTGCCAAAAAATGGCCAAGCAGAAGTACAACTGCTGCCGGTTTAGTAACCTGTAGTGTTGTGATTACTCCTTCAGTTGAAATATAATAATTATAATAGATATAATAATAAAAACCTTGTTTTTCACCGCTTGCTTTTCAAAGCTTATTCGAAAATAAAAAACATAAAATCGAGAGCGAAAGGTTTGTTTCGAAGCAAAATCCCATAATCCATTCTCACTCATYAGCAGATTGCTTCAACAAGAAAAGAAAAGAAGAACCTGTCTTATTGTTTTCTTGTGGTGTTCTCACCATCCATGTGCAGGAGATATGGCATTTGCGTTACTAAAACTGTCTTTCCAGATTTTGATGTTTTTTAGGATATTGTGGCTTACCTCTTGTACGACAGGTAAGTAAATACTTCAAATTGTCAACGTTATCTGTCAATTATTATGTTCATTGCGCACGTTGTGTTAGAAATCAATATGATTTCAAATTCGGCATGGGCTTACTAACATAGATGTTTCACATCAAAAAGGTACATTCGATACCCTATTTAATATATCGACATTAGTTTTCGTATTATTTACTTTTACTATGTTTTTACATCCTAAAGAAAGGTAAAACATATCCCAATCCTTGTACTTCCCTTTAAGATAATAGTCATGACTTAGATCTAGAAATCGGGTCAAATACACTACCGTAAATAAAATCAAACATTAAAGTACATTATGGTACGTAAGGGCCGTAAGAACTGGTACATGGCAAACTACTCTAACGATTAATTTAAAAATTATTGACGGTAACCTATTTCCCGATTCTCATGTCCATGTCGCGACTATTAGCGACCTTAAGATTTGCAAAAACTCAGTGCGACGGCGACGTCAACCAGAAGTGTAAATAACTTCACTTTGTGGTGCCGTGCTTTCAAAGTCTGTCTTCCCTGTGGATGAGTTGATTTTACAGACAATGTTTTGAATGAAGTCTCCAATGAATAGAAACCCCAAAGAAAATTTATTTACACTTGCGGTTGACGTCGCCGTCGTAGGTTTTACAAGTTTTAAGGGCTCGATGGGCGCGTAGCAATGAAAACAGTGGTGCAACTAGTATATAATTAATGTGAGCTGTAACACAATAAATATAGATATAACTTTAAATTCTTCCGATGTAACATTACCTCAATGACTCTTAAACCAACTTTCCATTATATACAAAACATCCTGTCTATTTCCAGAAAAGGGCGTTCCTCCCCACAGGTAGCCCAAGCTTGGTTTCTGTGGTGTCCTGCTATAAGGAAATGTATGGAGATTCATCAAAAATTTCAATAAAATCATTGAAACGTGAAATAAAGCCTCGA